TTTATATGTTGAGGAAGCTAAATGGTCATAAAATAAACAACTTGTTTAAATTATTTATTTATAATATTATAATAAAAAACAGTCTTCTTCACGCTATACGTAAAATTAAAAAATACTATTGTATTCTGCATACATTTCTAAGTAATAAACAATTGAGAAAAAAAGTGTCCCGCTAATAGAAATAACAATATTAAATTATTTTTGTCGCTGTGTAAGCCGTTTTGATGGTGTTCGCTGCCGCTGCGCTGTTTTCGCGTTATACATCGATGTCAATTTTTAAAAATTCAAAATAGCGGATGCAATATAGCGGACATTTAAAAAAAAATTTTTGGATTTGCTTGAAACTTGTCACTTGGGGGTTTTAGGGGTCGCTGATAACGAATCCAATGTCAGTTTTTTAAAAATACAAAATGGCGTATCTAATATGGCATATCGTCGATATCCACTTCACCCATGAACTTATTGGAAAGGTGAAATGCGTTAGGAAATTTCAATGGAATTTAAAGTTTTGCTCTCTCTCCTTATAGCTGTTCTATGAAACCGGCATTTGTAAAATTTGTTCTACTTTTATGATAAAAACAACACGTGGTGAGAGTTGGAAACGCTAATAATATAGCGGTTAAGAGACGAAATAAAATTGTGCTAACTGAAATGTTTCAAATGGATCAAAAAATTTTAAAAAAATGTCCACCATATTAAATTTACTATTTTTAATTTTAAAAAACTGACAGCGAATGTCTCATTAGCGACCCCAAAAACCCCCGAGAGACATGTTTTAAGCGAATCCAAAAATATTTTTTTTAAATGTTTGCCATATTGGATCCGCTATTTTGAAATTTTAAAAATTGACATCGGATTCGTCATCAGCGACCACTAAAAACCCCCGCGTGACAAGTTTCAAGCGAATCCAAAAATTAAAAAAAAATGTCCGCCATATTGGATCCACTATTTTGAATTTTTTAAAATTGACATCGGATTCGTCATCAGCGACCCCTAAAACCCCCGAGTGACAAGTTTCAAGCGAATTCAAATTTAAAAAAAACATGTCCGCCATATTGGATCCGCTATTTTGAATTTTTAAAAATTGACATCGGATTCGTCATCAGTGACCCCTAAAACCCCCGAGTGACAAGTTTCAAGCGAATCCAAAAATTTAAAAAAAATGTCCGCCATATTGGATCCGCCATTTTTAATTTTTAAAAACTGACATCACATTCGTCATCACCGACCCCGAAAACCCCCGAGTATTCATTATAAATCGAATTCGCAAACTTTTTAAATGTTGGTGTAAATTTTGATTTTTTTATCATAATGCATTTACTTTTTTAAAATTTTGAATCCGCCATCTTGAAATCAGAATTTCTCTATTTTATATTTTAAAAGTACAACTATTTTGCCTACCAGTAGCATACTTAAGAAAGGTTTAAAAATTTTTTTAGTTCTGAAAAAAAATATTTTTTAAAAAATGTACTTATTTTTTGTGCTTTTTTCAAAATAGCCGCCATATTGGATTTTGTGTTGATCAAATCCATATTTTGATCCCAGAATCTGAAAGAGTGACCTCCAAAACCCCCTACATCTCATTGCTGCTGAAATTTATTGTCTATAAATACTTCAAATCGCAGGGCTCGAACTAGGTCCGTAAATCCCGTAAAAGTCCGTAACTTTGCTTGAAGTCCGTAAAAGTCCGTTTTTTTGAAAAAAGGTCCGTAAAGTCCGTAATTCGATTGAAAAAGGTCCGTAAAGTACGTAAATTATACGATATAATTTGGATAATTTTAGAGAAATTACAAATGATTGAAGGAATTCAATTATTTTCAAAAGTAATAAAATTCTTCGCAAAAATTCAATTATGTTAAAATTTTTTTAAAAATTCTCGTCAAAATTTCAATTATCTTTACAAATAATTAAATTCTTCTTCGAAATATCAATTATTTTTAAAAATTTTAATAAAATTCTTGGAAAAATTTCAATTATTTTCAAAATTTTTCCTCAATTCAATGATTTTTAATAGATATCTATACTATATTCTAATAAAATTTTCCAAAGCATTCAATTATTTTTAAAAAAATCTAATAAAATTCTACACAAACCTTTAATTATTTTCATAAAATAATAAAAATTTCACAAGAATTTATGTATTTACAATTTTTTTTTATAAATTTCTTCGCAATATTCAATTATTTTCATAAATAATAAAATTTTTACAGGTATTTAATTTTTTTGGCAAATAATAAAATTCTTATTAGGAATTCAATTATTTTGATAAATATAAATAATACAGCTAATTGCAGAATTTCAATTATTTTTAATACAATTTTAATCGAATTCCTCGAAAAATGTAATTATTCTTAAAAATTTTATTAAAATTTATCAAAGAAATTAAATTATTTTAATAACCTTTGCTACAATTTATTTATTAGAATTTAAATATTACTTTTAATAAATTTTTAATTGAATTTCTTTAAAGAATAAAATTATTGCATTCAAAATTTTTAATGCAATTCTTTGCGGAAATTATCAATTATCTTTATAAATAATAAAATTCTTCTCTAAAATTGAATTATTTTCAAAAAATTTAATAAATTTCTTGGCACAATTTCAATTATTTTCAAAAATTTTCCCTAATTTAATTATTTTTAATATATCTACTATTTTAATAAAATTTTGCAAAAGAATTCAATTTTAAGAAACATATGTAATTATTCAATAAATTTTCAATAAATTGTTTTTTTTGTATTTAAATAATGAAATTCTCGTTGAATTTTCTCATAAACTATGATTTAAAAAAGGATTTCAGTTAAAATTTTAGCTTATAATTAAATATTAAAAGTATTAGAGCGTAAAGTTGTAGAAATAATTAAATTTTGAAAAGGTTTCAGATTCAAATCTTTAAAAATTTGAATTTTTCATATTTTTAACTAAGTAACAATTCTATGGAATTAATTTTTTTGAGAAATTTTAATTGCGAATTTTTTTTATATTATTTGAAGTTTTTATTTTCTAATACATATTTAATTGAAGAATTTACAAATAATTTAAATTTCGTAAAATTGAATATTGTAAAGAAATGGATTTGAAAATTGTCAAAGAACTTTTTCGAAAATTATTAAAAATAATCGATTTTAAGAAGAAGTTTAGTTAAAAATTCTTGAAAATAATAATTGAATTGATAATGATTTTATCACTCTATCTTTAATTATTATAAAACATGAAGTAATCGATCGCTTCGTGTCGAAGACTCGTAGTTATCGATATCTTCATGTTTTTTAGTTATGAAAAAATCTAATTTATAGTTTTAACTAAATTTTCTTTTATATATTTTTGTCAGTAATTGGTCCGTAAATGGTCCGTAATTTTTCATTTTTGGTCCGTAAAGTCCGTATTTTTAAATACTTTCACTGGTTCGAGCCCTGAAATCGTGTATTGAAGGCCAAGTAAAAATTTTGGTCATTTGGGCGTTAATGGATATTATGTTACATAAAACTCAGATAACTTAATTCCCATTTGACATAAAAATTATGTAACATAAATTTTTATTGACATAAAAATCATTTAACATCAATTTCTTTTGACATAAAATTAATTTAACGTAAATTTTATTTGTTATAAAATTCATTTGACCTCAATTTTATTTGGCATAAATGTCATTTAACGTAATTCTCATTTGACATAAATATCATTAGACATAAAATTAGCTTGACATAAATTTCATTTGACGTGAATATCATTTAACATAATTATTATTTAACGTAAAATTAAATTTATATAAATTTCACTTAGCATAAATTCCATTTAACATAATTCTCATTTGGCATAAAATTTACTTGACATAAATTTCGTTGGGTATAAATCCCATTTAACATAATTTTCATTTGACATAAAGTTCATTTGACATAAAAGACATTTAACACAATTCTCATTTGTTATAAAAGTCATTCAACAAAATTCTAATTTGACATAAAAATCATTTTACACAAATTACATTTTACATAACAATATCGGCGCGAATTTTAAAAGTAACCAATTAGATATTATCAACATCACTGTGATTCGCCAATTTTGAAATTCACGCCTATATTTCCATGTCAAATGATCTTTATGTAAAATAAAATCTATGACAACTGAATTTTATGTCAAATGAGAATTATGTGTAATGAGTTATCCGTCAAATGAAGTTTATATCAAGTGAACTTTATGTCAAATGAAAATTATGTTTAATGGGACTTATACCAAATGAAATTTATGTCAAGTAAATTTTATGCCAAATGAGAATTATGTTAAATGGAATTTATGCTAAATGAAATTTATATAAATTTAATTTTACGTTAAATAATAATTATGTTGAATGATATTCCCGTCAAATGAAATTTATGTCAAGCTAATTTTATGTCTAATGATATTTATGTCAAATGAGAATTACGTTAAATGACATTTATGCCAAATGAAATTGATGTCAAATGAATTTTATAACAAAAAAATTTACGTTAAATGAATTTAATGTCAAAAGAAATTGATGCTAAATGATTTTTATGTCAATAGAAATTTATCCACGTGCGGATCATGGGGATACAAATCGCCCTCCTGCAGAAAATTCTCTTACAAATAATCCAACAAATAATCCGAATCGCATACCACTTCCTAACATTACAGGACCATCCAATGGTCGCGCATCTGTAACTCCTCGAGAAAATTATCAAATTAACGCGGATCGTGAAATAGCTCTCAGAATAGCAAATTTAGTCGAACGCGAAATAGAGTTAAATAGGCGCGTTGAACAAATAACCCGTCGCGAACTCGAAGCTCGAGTTACACAGAATCAACAACTACCTGCTCCAAATCAACAACAAACCGTTTCGATTTTGCGTCCGACCGCTTCTAATTAACTACAGGAAATACGTGTCGACGCGGTTGTTAATGGCGAAAATAATGTTAGACAAGTCAATCACGAAAATCATTATCACGTTAAGCATCCTCCTTTTAGTACAAGCGATACTGAAATGTGGTTCGCTCAAGCGGAAGCTGTGTTTGATAGACATGGAATTGAAATGGAATTAGCAAAAGTTCAAATCGGTGGGTTAGCGCAATATCATACTTATTCGATAAACAAGGCAAGAACATACTTATTCAGAAAAGAGGCAAGAACATGTTTATTCAAAATATAAAGTAAAAAAGTAAAAACAAACGAATTCGCAAATTAACCTTTTTAGTCAGACTTTAAATTATCAAGAATATTATAATTTTATTTCAATAATACTTTTCATATTAGAAAAACAAAATATTAAAAAAATTATTCTCAATGGAACTAAATAAAAGTTATTATTCGTAAAACAATTGTACAAAAGTAAAATTTAAAATCTGACTAAAAAGGTTAATTTGCGAATTCGTTTGTTTTTACTTTATATTTTGAATAAGCATGTTCTTGCCTTTTTTCTGAATAAGTATGTTCTTGCTTTGTTTGTCGAATAAGTCTGATATTGCGCTAACCCGACGAAATTATAGTTGCTCAAGTAGATTCGGAATCGCTTCGTTGCGTGCGACACATCGTTATGGCAAATCCAGAACCGGAAAACGTGTACACTCAAATAAAAAACGAATTAATATCTCATTTCGCAATTTCTAAAGAATCTCGAGTTTTACAAATGATCCGAGGAGACGTTATAATTAGTGGGAAACCGTCACAAATGCTAAGTAGACTTAGAAGTTTAAATACAGGCGAGTGTACTGACGACGTACTAAAAGCAATTTTTATTTCGAAACTTCCCCACCAACATCAATTAGCTCTTGCATCTTTTAATCAATTACCATTGAACGAATTAGCTGAAAAGGCCGATAGTATGGCAGATATAGATAGATTAGCTAGTATTCAAAACGCGGCTGTTAACATAGAGGCTCCTCCAGCCCCAGCGACCGATAAAGTCGAAATTTTAGCGGCTGAGGTAGCATCTTTAAAAGCAGAATTTGAAAAATCAACAAACCGCAAATCTCGCGATCTTAAACGTAATGATTAAAAAAATAGTAGCAATTATAATGATAATTTTAACAATAATTATAATAATCAAGGCAGAGGTCGCAATCGTCCTTACAATCGCGGATATAACAACTATAGGGGACGTTCACATGGCAGAGGTTATCGAAGTAACAATTACAGAAGAGGGTTTAGGGAGCGTTCAGACCTTCTCATGAAAAACTTATGCATGCAGGTTGCCGTAGTAGCGTTCAAGAGTGAGAGAGATAGAATAATTTCCTATCTCTCTCACTCTTGAACGCTACCATGGCAACCTGCATGCATAAGTTTTGCATGAGATCGTGTGACTGTACGCTTAATCCACGTCACAATCAATATAATAAAAGCTGCTCTCAGGACATATTTAGGCATTCGAGTCCTCACAATTACAATATGCAAAACGATTGCCGACACCGATCGATATCGGAATCTCGTTTTTCAAATTCAAGCAATCAAACAATAATTGTTATAATCATAATGAGTCGGGAAATTAATGTGCCGTCATTGCATTGGGACGAGCTTTGCCGGCGTAGGTTCTCATCGTCTCCATGTACGCGATCGAAACTCTAGACAGATTTTCCTTGTTGATACAGGGTCGGATTTATCTATTATACTTGTAAAATATTTGCGTGGCCGAAAAAAGACCGATTTGGTTTTACATGCGGCAAATAACACAAAAATAACGACTTACGGTGTGGAGCGAATGAATTTGAGTTTGGGTTTGAAAAAGGAATTTTCCTGGGTATTTTGCGTGGCTAACGTTCCTCGACCAATTTTGGGAGCCGATTTCTTATCGAATTTCGAGTTAATTGTTGATGTAAAAAATCAAAGGCTGATCGATTCTAAAACAAATTTCGGTATTCGAGGAGAACTGAGAATTTCACCTATCTCGGGAATTAATAATATAGTAGTCAATGATCCTTACAGTAGAATAGTCTCGGAATTTCCCGAAATAACCAGCTTAGATTAGGAGATGACAGTTCCAGCTTGTGGTGTTTATCATAACATTCACACTTTCAGCCCCCCTGCAGCGCAACGGGCTAGAAGACTACCCCTTGATAGGTTATTGATTGCTAAAAAACCATTTCGTGATATGGTTCGTCGAGGTATCTGTAGGCCTTCGAGTAGTAGTTGGGCCACACCCATTCTTATGAAGAAGAAAAAAGACGGTTCTTGGCGTATATGTGGAGATTTTCGCAACTAAATGCGCAAACTATCCCCGATCGATACCTAATTCCTCATCTTCATGATATGTCTTCTATTCTTCATGGGAAAAAGATTTTCTCTAAACTCGATCTCCACCTAGCCTATTACCAAATTCCGATTGCTTCGGAAGATATCCCGAAATCATCTGGAAAACCCCTTTTTGGTTTATTCGAATATACTGCCACTACTTTCGGATTAAGGAACGCGGGACAGACCTTCCAAAGATACATTAATAAAGCTCTCGACAAATTGGACTACGTCTTTCTATATATAGACGATATTTTAATAGCATCTTCGAACCCTGTCGAACACGAGGAACATTTACGAGAGGTTTTCGAACGCCTCAAACAATTTAAATTGCGTTTAAATCTTAGCAAATGCCAGTTCGGAAAAACGGAGGTGAGATTTCTCGGCTATGAAATTAAGGAACATGGTATCAAACCTACTTAAGAAAAAGTAAAAGCAATTATCAATTTTCCCAAACCAAAAACCGTTTCAGATCTTCATCGGTTCTTGGGAATGGTAAATTTTTACCGTCGTTCTATGCCAAAAGCCGCTCATACTCAAGCACCTCTCTTGAATTTTCTTCATAATTCAAAAAAACGCGATAAAAGAAATATTAAATGGGATGAAGAAACCGTAAGTGCTTTTGAATCAATAAAAAATCAACTCGCTAACGCCACGTTATTAGCGCATCCCTCTATTAATGCTCAAATTTGACTGGTAACCGATGCTTCGGACACTGGTATTGGTGCAATTCTCGAATAGCGTAATAAAAACGCTTGGCAACCTCTCGCATTCTTTTCTCGTAAATTAACTCCAACTCAGAAAAATTACATCACTTACGATAGGGAACTTCTTGCTATTCACGAGGCAATTAAATATTTCGAATATTATCTTGGAAGGGGTAATTTTAAAATCCTAACCAATCACAAACCCCTGGTTTATATGTTTATTCAAAAAAAAGATAAAATTAACAAGAGACAACAACGCTCAATATCTTTGATATCTTAGTTTACGACCTGGATTGTGCACATTTTCGGTGAAAACAACTTAGTTGCCGATGCCCTTTCTCGAATCGATTACTACTCCCGTTTTTTTAACATCCAGGATCTTGCGGAAGCTCAAGCTCAAGATCGTGAATTAACTGAATATTTAAAATCGAAAAAAACCGGATTAAAATTGAGAAAGATTGGTTTTGGTCCCGATGATGTAGACATTGTTTGCGACACTTATGACGATGTTTTCCGACCGTACATCCCTTTGTCGTTGCGATGAAAAGTTTTCGATACGTTTCATAATCCATCCCATCCTGGAATAAAAGCGACCCAAAAATTAATTCAGGGAAAGTTTGTCTAGCATTTCATGAACAAAGACATCGCCAATTGGGCGAGAACTTGTTTATATTGCCAGTCATGCAAGGTTACGCGTCACATTCATTTAAAGTCTGCTCATTTCGTCGAGCCTCAAGCTCGTTTCCGTCATGTACATATCGATTTGGTTGGTCCATTGCCTCAGAGCGATGGTTTTTCGTATTTGTTGACAATGATTGATAGATTTTCTAGATGGCCCGAAGCAATTCCGCTACAAAACATCAACGCCGAGACAGTTTGTAGGGCTTTTTACGATCACTGGGTATCCCGTTTTGGAGTTCCGGACACTTGGACAACTGATCAGGGAACCCAGTTCGAATCTCGTTTAATGCAACCTCTCCTCAATTTGCTAGGCTGCCAAAGAGTTTGGACCACCGCTTACCATCCCGCATCCAACGGTATGGTGGAGCGGTGGCACCGTTCTTTAAAAGCAGCAATAATGTGCCATGCCAATTCAACGTGGACTCGAACTCTATTAACAGTTTTGCTTGGTTTAAGAACGAGCGTCATGAAGTGCGGCTCTTCATCTGCCGAGTACCTTTATGGTACCACACTTCAAAACCCAGGCGAATTTGTACTTACTTCTAAAGAACATGAAATTAAAGATAATTTTCTGACCGAGTATAAGCAACATATTACGAGGATCAGACCAGTTCCAGTGGTCCATAACGATAATCGAAAAATATTTGTGCATCGAGAATTGAGCGATTGTTCGCATGTTTTTATTCGAGTAGGAGCAAGTAAAAGATCTCTTCAACGACCTTATAATGGTCCCTTTAAAGTCATTAATCGTGTCAATGACAGAGTTTACGAAATCGACGTGAACGGTACGCGAAAAAGAATATCGATCGAAAATTTAAAGCCAGCTCATTTTTTGATAGATCAGGAATCGAAAGAAATCAATTCTGATTCAAAAAAGGAAAAAGTCGAAATCGATCACTCGAAAATCGCGAAAAAAAATTCTGTTGAAAAGAAATATCCTGGTAAATTAGTTAGCGATAAGAAAAATCTCGAACTCAAAGTGGAAGACGCTCCACCAATTGTCAATCCAGAAAATTCTCCTTCTGCAAATAAAATTCCAGAGAAAGTCGTAACGTTAAATAAAGAAATGAGTTTATCAAAAAACGTAAATCCTAAAAAACAAAAACATATTCCGTCGATATTGCGTAGAAAAACGACAAACGAAAGCATGAACCTCGCGAATAAGTCAAACGAAATTCCAATCCATATACCCTCGACCAGCAATCCACCCCTTCCTGGGAATTCTGCTAAAAGGGAAAAGTTTGTTTCGTCAATTTTGCGTAGAAGTCCAAAAAAGTTACATTCAAATTTAAATTAATAAAAAAATTTTAAAATAGTTAAATTATTATTAAATTTTAAATTTTATTTAAATTAATTTTTATTTTTTTTCATTTATTCCATGAAATATAAAATTAATTAATAGATTCAATAAAAACGTATTTCCTTCCGACTCGCGAGACTGATCACCTCGCGAATTCTTGACAATTTCATTTCGATGAGAAGAGAGGAAGATTCTAAACGAATAAAAAAATGCTAGCATAATAAACAAAATCAATTAAAGCGTTCCTACAAGGAAATAAATTACACACTGATGTAGCATATTCTTATTGTTCCAATGCTGTGTATTTCAAAAGAGAAAAAAAAATTGGACAAGTGCGAGTTGTACTCGCACTGCAATGGCGGGTTTCGCACACAAATATTAAAACAATACTTGCAACATTGATAGGTAATTGGTAGAATTAAAATAAACAATTATAAAAATATATTAAAATCATTTGATAAAAAAAAATAACTAAAAAAAATTAAAGTATTGTATATATCTAATATTGTAAACAATAATAAGCAGAGGAACAAAATTTTCAAAATTTATTATAGTTCCTCTGCTTATTATTGTTTATAATATTAGATATACAATACTTTAATTTTTTTTAGTTATTTCTTCTTATCAAATGATTTTAATATATTTTTTTAATTGTTTATTTTAATTCTACCAATTACCTATCAATGTTGCAAGTATTGTTTTAATATTTGTGTGCGGAACCCGCCATTGCAGTGCGAGTACAACTCGCACTTGTCCAATTTTTTTTTATTTTTAGTTAAGAAATTAAAGTCAGAAAACAATCTCTCATTTAATCTCTTAAAATTTCACTCTCTTCCTTAAAATATTTAATGCCACGTGTTTAAACTAAAAAAAATTAAAAAAAATTTTTTTTTGATTTTTTTTCAAAAAGTTTCTTAAATACATTTTTTGTTGTCAGACTGTAATAATACACTAGGATACTAATTTTCAGCTCATTAGGTCAAATAATGTAAAAGTTATGAAAAAAAATTTTTTTTTTAAATTTTTTAGTTTTTCCTTGACAACGCTATGGCCATCATTACATATCAAGTTCTCTATATTTTT